TTTTTAAAGCTGGGGTTTCACCATGTTGGCCAGGCTGGTTTTGAACTGACCTCAGGTGATCCAGCCACCTCAGCCTCCCAAAGTCCTAGGATTACAGGCATGAGCCACGGCGCCCGGCTTCTCGGAGAGCTTCTTAATTCAAACTGTGTGTGTTTGTGGGATCCAACTGGAACCCTCAGTGGGCAAGGGCCGAACTGAAGAGGAGCATACATGTGATTGCACTTGGGAAGTTCCCTGTCCCTGCCCCTGAGCCCCTAGACTCTCCTTCTGTAACACCCAGTTCTTCCCACAGAAACAGCGGGAGCCACGGAAGGGCCGCCTCATTGTGTGTGGCCATGGGACGCTGGAGCGGGATGGAGTCTTCTGTCTCCTCAGTGATGATCATGGTGCCTCCTGGCACTACGGAAGTGGAGTCAGCGGTATCCCCTATGGCCAGCCCAAGCGGGAAAATGATTTCAATCCTGATGAATGCCAGGTCAGGAGTCCATGAGATGTTCCCTACCCATTTGACCATCCCTGCCCTCCAGAGCATCATTTCACACAGACCCAGGGTCTGACTGCTCAGCTCAGTGCCGCACACCCTTGCTCCCCTCAGGGACAGGGGCATTGGCCCTGTTCCCTCCCTGAGATCCTGTCCTCTCCCCTCAGCCCTATGAGCTCCCAGATGGCTCAGTCGTCATCAATGCCCGAAATCAGAACAACTACCACTGCCACTGCCGGGTCGTCCTCCGCAGCTATGATGCCTGTGATACACTGAGGCTCCGTGACGTGACCTTTGACCCTGAGCTCGTGGACCCTGTGGTAGCTGCAGGAGCTGTAGTCACCAGCTCCGGCATTGTCTTCTTCTCCAACCCAGCACATCCAGAGTTCCGTGAGTGCCTCATGGGTGGGGTCAGCTGGGAGAGCCCTATGTCTAGACAAGGCCTGGGCAGACATGCTTCCTCCCTGACTCTCCTGCTCTCCCCAGGAGTGAACCTGACCCTGCGCTGGAGCTTCAGCAATGGTACCTCATGGCGAAAAGAGACAGTTCAGCTGTGGCCAGGGCCCAGCGGCTACTCATCCCTGGCAACCCTAGAGGGCAGTATGGATGGAGAAGAGCAGGCCCCCCAGCTCTACGTCCTGTATGAGAAAGGCCGGAGCCACTACACAGAGAGCATCTCCTTGGCCAAAATCAGTGTCTATGGGACGCTCTGAGCTGTGCTGCTGCCACAGGGATATTAGGCCCAGGACTCTGCCTTCAGGACCACGGGTCTGTAGAGGGTCTGCTGGAGATGCCTAAAAGACAGTTCCATCTTCCTTTAGACTTCGGCCTCAGCAAAATCACTTTCCCTTTACCAGGGAAATCACTTCTGTTAGGACTGAAAGCCAAGCTTCCTCTCCCACAAAAGAAGTCCTGACCTCACCTGAAAACACTTCCTTCCCATGTGGCCAAATGTGGCCCCACCACCCTCTCTGTTCTCCCGGGACATGATTGGTCCTGTCTGGGGCAGGGCTAGTGAGCCGTAGAATTGAATCAATGTGAACTCAGGGAACTGGAGAAGGCCGAGCTTCCTCTTTGGTGTTGGGGTAAGATAACCGCTCCCCGAGTGGCAGGATGTTTGGTTTCAGGTTATGGACTAGGTGTACCACCCCCATTGACTATTTGCCAGTGAAAATGTTTGTAACTTAAAATTTTTAATGAAGGAGAATGAATATTTGTAAAGTCTTTATGGTTCTATCAATGCATATCTTCATGTCTGTTTTCCTCATGTATACTTGTGGGGCTGGGAATGAGTTCCAGCTCACTCTGTCATCCAGGCTGGAGTGCAGTTGCACATCACAGTTCACTGAAGCCTCAACCTCCTGGGCTCAAGTGATCCTCGGATTTCAGCCTCCATAGTATCTGGGACTACAGGTGCGTGACACCATGCCTGGTTAATTTTTTTTTTTTTTTTAAGTAGAGACAAGGTTGTGCTATGTTGCCAGGCTGGAATGGAACTCCTGCGCTTAAGCAGTCCTCTTGCCTCACCTTCCCAAAGTGCTGAGGTTACAAGGCTGTGAGCTGCCATGCCTGGCCACATTCCTTCTTATCACAGAGAAACAGGCTAATCTTCCTAGGTGTAATGAGTTTGAAGGGAGCACCATAAGATTGTTTTTATTTTTATATTTATTTTTATTTTTATTTTTTGAGACGGAGTTTTGCTATTGTTACCCAGGCTGGAGTGCAATGGCGCGATCTCGGCTCACCGCAACCTCCGCCTCCTGGGTTCAGGCAATTCTCCTGCCTCAGCCTCCTGAGTAGCTGGGATTACAGGCACG